GAAATTAAGGTTATGATGTAAAAGAATATATATGATTCCATTTATATAAAATCTCCAAAAGACATCAGTAATCTAGAGACAGAAAATAGATCAGTGGTTCCTTGGGAGTGGAGAATACAGGGAGACAGGAAAGAGGGAGGTTGACTGGCATGGAGCCTTAGGAATATTGTAGGATGATGAAAATGTTTTATATCTTCATTGTGGTAGTGGTTGCACAGGTGTACAAATTTGTCAAAACTCATCAAAATGCACACTTAAAATTATTACACTTTGTATCTAAACTATGTCTCAATACATTTATTTTAAAAATAAGGATCATGAAAGAAATGTCTTTTAAGTTTCAACACCTTCCCAACTCCAAATTTCCTTCTTACATGAGATTTTTTCTTTGACTAATATCCAGAAGTTTACATCTTTACAAGACTAAAATATAACTTGAAGCACATGATAATGACTAATAGATGTAACATATTTTCTTCTTAACTAGTTTATCCTGGTAATACAAATGAACCAATTTAGCAATATTTAAATCTATACTTTGAAGAGTATAAAGATTTGAAGAGCAGCTTCAAATCTGGCAGCAATTCTCTCTCACATTAATGACAGTGATTTAGTCTGTATCATCATATTGATACTATTAACGGTTAATGCTATAAGCAACTGGCTTCAGTAAAGTCATATGTTCCTACAACTGTGAGATTCAGTTAGCAAGATTGCAATACAATTCAATAGTCTTTCCCAAAGTACCTCTTTGCCCAAGATTATGACAAACTTAAGTTAGCCAGATTTAGTCTGTCTAGCTCTTGCTCTTAACACAAAGTTTTGAATGGTTTTTCCTCAAAGAGAGAGAAACAAATAATAAGAGTGTTTATTCTGGCTAGCATGAAAATTATCTTCCTAGTGCGTTCTCTTCTCAGTGTAATTCTCTTTGCCCCACTATTCCAAGGTGCAAAAGCTGAAATTTAAACAACTACTCACTAGGAACCCATTCTATGTGGACCTACACACACTCCAAAGCTAAAACCTTCAGAAACTCAACTAGTGTAAGCATATGAAAAGACCTAGGATAACCACAGCTGATAATCACTACCAGGCAAAGCCTAGAACAGTAGCTTTTTAACTTTTTTGATCACAACCCTTAGTAAGAAACACACTTCATTATCACAACTCAGTGCACACATAAAGCATAAAACGTAACTGAAACGAAAGTTTCAAGTATTTACCCTTATACAACACAAGATGCACTTCGATATTTTCTATTCTTTTTTTTTTTTCTTTTAAGAGAGGGGGTCTCCCTATGTCACCCAGGCTGGTCTCAGACTCCTCAGCTCAAAGGATTCCCCCTCTTGGCCTCCCAAAGTGCTGGGATTACAGGCGTGAGCCATCGTCATGCCTAGCAGACATTTTATATTCTATTATTTTAAAATCCCCAGCATTGGCTCACTGAATTTCTTTCACAACTCAATAAGTGGGTCCTGATACATGTTGGATGAAAGACTAGACTACAACAAAGGGCTGTCCAGCTTCCCTATCATCCTACAGATTTCTGGATTGGAGCTTTCTAATGCACTTCTCTCCACTAACTATATACCATGTGCCAGACGCTGTTCTGAAGGTTTTAAAAATAAAAAGAAATCTCTGATGAAGAGTCTAACTTCAAAGAGTCTTTAAGTTTAGTAATGGAGTAAAAACCTATACTGGAATCCTAAGAGATAAAGTGATATGGGAATTTGGAGGACAGAGATTTGTTCCAGCTGGGGATAAATCAACAAGGCTTAAAAGAAAAGGTACTATTTGAACTTTTTTTTTTCTTTGCTGTCAGAGGCCTGCAGGATGAACTGGTCTTAAGTGTAAGAAAGATTTAGCTATGTGATGATGTGGAGGAAGGTGAAGTACTACAAATCAAGAGAGCATAAAAACAAGAACAGAAACATTTCAGCATGTGAGTAGCAGACTAAACGGGAAGAAAAGCTTGGGGCCACACTACTGTCTCTAGAAATGTCAGACAAAGAAATTCTTCTGCATACTGGTGGAAGCTTGAAAGGTACTTAGCAAAAAAGTTACCAGATTAGAATGCCTTTTAGAAAGATGCCAAGCAAAAGTATTTAGTGATTTTGAAGTGACCAGAACATACCTATGTTTAAATACTAAGGTTAAAACATCTATTTCAGGCCAGGACGCAGTAGCTCATGCCTGTAATCCCAAAGTTTTGGGAGACTAAGATGGGAGGATGGCTTGAGCCCAGGAGTTCCAGGTTACAGTGAGCTATGACTGCGCCACTGTATTCCAGCCTGGATGATAGAGGAAAGCCCTGTATCCAAAAACAAATTAACAAAATTTCCAAAGGCAAATATACATGCTTTTTAGACTATTTAAGCCCTATCATCTCTTCTGCTAATGCGATAATGTGACAATCAAATGAATTAAGAAAATGATTTAAGCAACAATGAAAAACTCATCCTAAAAAGTGAAAATAAAACTTGTCCCCGAAGCTTCAGTAATGAAAGAGCACTGGAATACTGGAGTTTTCTGAAACCTACCAGTTGTATAGCATTAAATGTGAATTTAGAAATGGGCACCAGATACTGAAGACCTCTATGTGCCAGCGAATGCACTAGATGATTCACATGAGTAAAAATAATTTTCAGAGTCCTAGGACAAAAGTCTTCTCCTCTTCCCCAAAGAACTCAGCCACTATCACGGGGCAGAACCCATAAAACAAGTCAGAAACTTGTTTTTTCAATCTTATGAAAAAAATATAGCTCTAGATTCCTTCTACTTGAACCTCCATACAAAATAGTAACTGTTTCCAAAATATTCCTTAGCAAGATATACAAGTATTTTACCAACTGGACCTTTCCCCCCTAAACTATCACTACTACTGCCCACTTCCCTATCCCATCTTCCTGCCTCAGTGTAATTTGATTCCTCCGCACATGCTTTTCTTCTCTTCAAGCAATGCTCTTCCATCTTTCTTGTGGAAGAATTACCATCATTCCTCAAGGCCAGTCAAAAGTGCGGCGGTGATAAGCCTTTCACGGAGGCTAGCTCACGCATCGATACTTCACAGCACTGAACTTGGCTCCTTTATAGCCCTAACCGTTAGGTATTAACTACCTGTTCACCTGTCAATTTCCATCAGGTGGGCACAGTTCTTATTGACCTCTACGGACTCGCTCCCCAACACATGGATTATACCTGGCATATACTGCTGGATAATTGGTTGCCAACAGCAACCTCTCACCCTAAGGAAAACCCCACTACACTGTTAAAGCTTCTAAACATCTGCTGAGAAAACGTTAACACAGCATTAGAAAGTGTATCAGAAAAACATAAACCAAGAGATGAGTGGATTGGGTCAAGCCTGATACAAAGTAACACAGAAAGGCGAAAGCAAAAACAAAGGAAAAAAAAAAAAACCCGAAACTGTACTACATTTCCAACGGAGGGAGATTTCACAAAATGAGCAGTGGATAAGATTAGTAATATGAACAGCAAGTTGTGCAGCCTCCGGGAAAAAGAATGCGCAAGGGTATCAATCTTCTAAGAGTGAGGTTCCAGGCACCGAATGGACTAGTCTTACAGCCCCGACAAGAAAGGGAGACCGCTTGGTTGGACTCCAAGACGGAGGTGTGCGGTCCTGCCACTGCGAACGGGGCGGGGAAGAGAGGAAATGACGAGCCAAAAGGGGTGGTAACGGCGCCGGGCCGGAGACCCGGGCGGAGCGGGCTGGGAGGAGGGGCGCAGCGGAGCACGGGGAGTGGGCGAACTAACGGCCCCCTCTCCCCACCAGGAAGACAGCAGGGGCGGGCCTGTAGGGCTCCGAGGCGAGGGCGGGCCAGCCCCGTTGCCAGCCGCACTCGGGACCCCGCGGCCAGGGCGCGCACCCTCCCCAGGCCTCCCTCCCGACCTAGTGGGGCTGCAGATAGACAGACCCGGCTCGCGGGGAGCGGGGGGCCTGGGGGAGGCTTCCTGCCCCAAGGGCCGGAGAGTAGAGAGAGCAAGGGCAGGTTTAAGTTTGCGGCCAGAACGACCAGGAGGAAATCGCCGAGGCCCAGGGCGCGCATGTGTCCCCTAGTGTAGGGCCATTCGTGGCCCTGGGCCTGGGGCCTGAGAACCTGGGCCTGGGGCCTGAGAACCTGGGCCTAAGAGTCGGTAAACGGGGACGCATTCCCAACTGATCCTGGCACCCGGCGAGGGTCGGAGCCCCGAGGTGCCTGCTCCCCGGGGCGCCATCCCCGCGCGGGGCGGCCCCTGCAGGCCTCGGCCGGGAGTGCCCCGAGGCGCTCGCAGGCCCCGGGCCGGGGCCGCTGGCCGCCCTGCTGGGCTAGGCTCAGCTCGACTCCCCGGGCTCGACGGGCGCCTGGGCCTCTCCTGAGTGGTCAGCGAGACCCGCCAATCGGGGCGCTGGGGCCGGCTCTGGGCCGCTGGATATTGGCTCCTCACACTCACCGTGCCTCGCTCCCCCGGTTCGCTGCCCGCGCTGATTGGCTCCAGTACCGGACTCCGAAACCCAATCAGAGGCTCCAGCCGCCGCCGCCGCCGCCACTGCCGCTGCCTAGCAAAATGGCGAACCCGAACAAAGGGGAATCGGGCCTCCCTCCAACCGCCTCCGCGCAGGCGCCTCTGAGACCACGCCCACTAACTCCAGTTCTGCGCTCGCCCCACCCCTTTGGAGGAGCAACGCGCAGGCGTTCCCTGCAGCCACGCCCGCCTTCCCGATTTGACACCACCGCCAGTCGAAGGAATACGCAGGCGCCTTCGAGACGCGCCAGATCGTTCAACTCAAAACGCTCCCTTGAGCTTAGTACTACGCAGGCGCTAACTAGCCCCTTTGCCAGCTGCCCACCCCTTTCCAAGTGGCCACTAGGACACACCCGTGCGGCTAATGCGCAAGCGCCACTTTTCCCGACTCGTGGTGGGCAGTTTCATTACGCATGCGCGGGCGGCGGCGGGACACCACGGAATTTACTGCCGGAAGTTCGGCGGCCTTCGCCAAAGAGTGTGGGCTCGGCTAGCAAGCTTGAGGGGCTCGTTTCCGCCCCGCTACCGGGCGGGGGCGGCCATCTTAGACGCGTGCAATTAAGGGCTTTGGTGGGATTGGCTCAGCGTTTGGGCTGGTCCGCTGCTCCCCACCTACCAGGGTCGGATCCGGAGCCCTTCCCCGCGGGGCGGGGACCTCCAAACAACCGACTCCTTTCCAGGTGAAGGGTGACTTGGGTACGTTGGGGCTTTGAGCGAGCCTCCCCCCATCCTCCCATAGGACCCCAGGACAGACCCTGCGTCCTCGCTGACCCGCCCTAGGGTAGGAGACAGAGAATGGGAGGCTTCTCTAGACTCTTTCCTTCTCCTACGCACCCCCCTATAAAAGTAGGGGGCTGAACGTTCCTTGAGAGGCGGCCTTCCTTTCCCCACACCTGGGGCTCAGCACGCCAGTACCTTGTACACTCTGTGGTTGCGGCTTACCGGGACTATGGCCAAGTCCCTTCTGTTTTTTCCCTAACCTAAACCCACTGGGGAACTACTTTTGCGTCGTGCACAGAAAAGGGGAGCGTCCTAAATCCGCGTTGCTCGGGAGTGGCCCTGGATAAAGGAGGAGGCGTGTCTTGGGGATGGGCTTTGCTTCCGCTGACGGAGCGGGGCGCTCCAGAAAAGCGGGAAATGAGAGCGGGTCGCTAAGCATTCTTCCTCTTTTTTGCCCCAGAAGAGTTTTGTATTACGTACCTGGGACCGAAAAAAACTCACATTCATCGATAAACGTTGGGGAAAAAAGCCTATTAAGCGAGTGTACAGGGCAATCAGAATATTATATACTAAGGCTGCCTAAGCATTTTTACTTCCTTTTCCCTTCTCATAGCTGAAGAAACACTTAAATTCTGGAAATAGCGACTCAGTATCATGGCCAGCAGCCTTAATGAAGATCCAGAAGGAAGCAGAGTAGGTAACAACTATTAACCTATTGGTGAACTGAAATTCGTAATCATGGAGGTCAAAAGCATAAGCACTTTTTAATTAAATTAATGATTGAATTATCTCTTTTTCTCGCTAGCTGATTTACTTAAGAAAGGCTCAAAATTCTAGGCAGGGATCATTCATTACTTTCCTTTTACACATGCTGTAATTGATTTGCCTTTAAATCAGATTGCAGGAAGGGGTGCCGGGAGAGGTAGTCGTGGGGGACACGAAATACAGAAAAATAACTTAGTATTTTTCTGTATCTAATAAAACTTTGTCTTTTCCTTTGCACCTTTTTTAGATCACTTATGTGAAAGGAGACCTTTTTGCATGCCCTAAAACAGACTCTTTAGCCCACTGTATCAGTGAGGATTGTCGCATGGGCGCTGGGATAGCTGTCCTCTTCAAGAAGAAATTTGGAGGGGTGCAAGAACTTTTAAATCAACGTGAGTTTTGGAAAGCACTTACCTGGTTTGCCCTGGCTAGAGCACCTTTTAATCTGTTACACTTTAATAAAGAAAACATGCGGGTAAAGAGGGGATTCCTAAGAACCAAATGTTTTTAGATTTTCCTCCCCAAGAATAGCCTCTAGTTTGGACCTTTATAATTATCAAACCTGAACTCCTGTGAATGTTTTTAATCTCTTCCTCTTGTATCATAAAACTTTCTTGACGATATTACTGCACTTCTCTGAAACTTGAAATAACTGAGATGCTTAGTCTATAGGTTGGCATTCAAGATCCCCTCCTTACCAATATTCTGCTTTTTCTTCGAAGAGGAATTTAGAAACCTCTTCTTCCTTACAGACCCCTCCCATCACTTTCTACGGGTGACTTTAAACCAAAAATGTGCACTAGAATCCTATGTAAAGCTTCTGAAACAGTCTCTCAGACCCCATTCCAGGCTTAACAGACTCATTGTCCACAGTAATTCTTAGCCTTAGACAAAAGCAATTCTTACTGCTTTGTATTATAGTTATTTGTAATGATGATACCGTCTCTGGATTGAAAACTCCGTAATAATTCCTTTTTTCTGTGTCTATATTCCTGTTAATGCCTTGCACAGCTCTTTGTATGTAAAAAGATAATTATTGAGTAAATACACATTTGGCAAGTAAAAAACTATACATTATAAAACAATTTCAAGGCAATAGACAAAGTTTGTGGACAAATGAGGTTATATTTGAAAGTACTAGTGGGATCAAAGGTGGGTTGTGAGGAGACATGATTGTAAGAAAGCTGTAAGTTAAGGAATATAGTATTTGGGAATGCTGATAAAAAGCAGTGTGTTTATGGGAGACTAGATCTTCCGTATTCCCTTCTTCAGTGGTGAAAATTATTTCTAGTTCTGAAGTAAACTCAGATCTGTAAAGATTTTAAAATCTTAGAGATCAGTGTTTGGTTTTCTTTTTCATTTCTACTATTAAATAACTTTTTCTTAGAAAAGAAATCTGGAGAAGTGGCTGTTCTGAAGAGAGATGGGCGATATATATATTACTTGGTAAGATGGGCCAATTCCTTTTTTTTTTTCAGGGCCAATACTTAATACATTTTGAGGATTTGTAAACAGATGGGCTGTACTACATTTGTGTTGATCATGATGGTCCACTCTAGACAACTAAGGATGTCAAAAAGCTTCCATCTTATGACAACTCCAGTACAGTGATGGCGGCTACTTGGAGCACTGGGTTAGAAAGAAATGTGAGACTGCATCCCAGCTTTGTGGGAAATTCCTGTGCCATTTACCATAGGCCTGTTCTAAGACTTGGAAAAGTTAGGAATGCCTGCCATACTGTATTTCCTAGGCATTGTGAGGTAAAAGCAATAATGTCTCAAGAGACAGATTTCCCAAAGGAGCTTTTCTCTTATTCCATGTCAACTAGCACACTGCTAGCAAGCGGGTGAATAAAAACAAAATAAAGTAAGTACAGTCCCAAATAATACCTAGCTCCTCTCCTAACTACTGCCTGAATGTGGGGTTCTTCGACAGTCCAGGATGGCATTTGGTTCCTGAAAGGGGGTGACTTCCTTAGTGGTGGTGGTGGGTAACTTACAGCTAACCCACTACAAGCCTGATCTGGATGGCAAACTGAGTGGGGAGATGTCCTAGCCCCTTTGAATTCTGTCCTTAAAGCTTATGTGGCTTCCAGTGTTTTAACTTTGGGACCCTACCAGTTTTTTCTGTTGTTTTATATAGAGAGACAAGAAGCAAGCAAGCACAGTTTCTAAATAAATAGAGGCTTTTAGCAGGGAATTTTCAGGTGGTATGCGTTCTTCCCTGTTACAGATATGCAGCTTATCTCTTGGATGTGGCACAGAGACTTCACTTACCTTGCTTAAAAATATTGACAATAGGCACCACTAGCTAATCTCATGGGTTTCCTAGGAAAAGGAAAGATTACTACGTGGCAGAGTCTGGGTTTCTCCATCTCTATTTAGTGGATTTTCTTGAGGCTCTCCCATAAAAATGTGCTTACTCTTTTATTTATCAGGATGTTGGGGCAATGTGATGACTTTTCTTTGGCTATCATTTTGGGATGATGAAAGTTTGAATTCTTTGTGTTCAGATTACAAAGAAAAGGGCTTCGCACAAGCCAACTTATGAAAACTTACAGAAGAGTTTAGAGGCAATGAAGTCTCATTGTCTGAAGAATGGAGTCACCGACCTCTCCATGCCCAGGCAAGGAAATCCAGGCCCTAAATGGAGATTTAATTGATTGGTAGGGTTTACTGTCTTACCCAAAGACAAACAAAAGCTTAACCCAAAATACAGATTTAAAGGTGGACAACAGTCAAAATTTTGTAAAACCACCAGTGAACCAGTTGTCTGGTCTTAGGCCAAGGCACAGCCATTTTCTAGCTTGAGTTGAATGAATCAGGACAATTACCTTGAAATACACATCTGCCTCAGCCTGCTTAGCCGAGAGTGACCGTTGTCATTCAGCCACATTTGTTGAATTCTCAGCACCCTCTGCTTGAAGCTTGGCCTTTATTCCTGAAGCAATATGAGCTAAAGAATCAAGACTGAGCAATGGTGGTTTCCCTCTTGGACCACTTCCCATCTCCCAAACCTATTACTTTGTGTCAAGAAAGTTGTAAATTATCATTCCCTTTTATACTGCATGCTTCTTTTGGTCAGTATGGGTAACAGCCAGAGGATCTGCCCCTGATGTAACTTCTTAGACCTTATCTATTGGGAACTTAAGGGAATGACATTGAGGGTTCGTTCAGTAGTCCCTTTACTTTCTTTTCAGGCAATGGGCCTCACCTCTTTTCTTCCTGTCACCCTGGTAGATTTGAGTCAATGCTGAGCATACATGCAATTTTGTCTCAAGCCCCACATTACTTTGAATGTGGCCTCAATGTCCGTTTACACGGGTCTTTGATATATTTATGGTGTATGTGGCAGAAACTATGTTTTTTATCACAATTCCTTACGGACTTAATTATCACATTCTGACATGAAATTAGCAATTTTAAGTCTCTTTTCCCTAGGGTTGTTGAGGATCACTAGAGTAACATCTTGGGAGGTGCCAGGTAGTAGAGTTTTATGACTGAGTTTATTCTCACCAGGGTGTTGAAAAGACCTTACTCCTGGATTGCAACCATTTTGCCATTTCCCAGCATTCCATCTTGACTTTTTTTTTTTGCGGCTCCTGTACCTCATTCCTCTTCTCCTTATTTTCGTTAACATTCTGTTACCATAAGTGCATTTTAAAAATACCAACCTTTCCCCATCCCTCCACAGCCAATTTTAGTCAGTAGTCATAGAGGGATAATGAGTCTCCCATGTCATGACAGTTATACATTTCTAAATGTAGCATGAAATAGTTGGAAAGTGGTATTTTATTAGGCAAAGAGAAGTGATAGTTTTTGGATGTCAGAGCTGTCTAGGAATGGTCTTAGATGACTCACAACAAGAACTGACTTCCAAACTCCTACCGTGGTTGCCTATAAAGGTGTCAGACTAGATTATTTGTTTTTATGCTTTGAGTGGATATAACTTGAAAGAGAGAAGGAGCAGTTTCCTAGACACTTTCATTACCATCAATGGAGATATTTTGTCTTTTTCAGGATTGGATGTGGTCTTGATCGTCTGCAATGGGAAAATGTATCTGCGATGATCGAGGAAGTATTTGAGGCAACAGACATCAAAATTACTGTGTACACACTCTGAACCAGTGAACGTTTTGGATGTTTCCGTGTTCTCCTGTGTCATCTCTACTGGGCCATAGGACTGGGCAAACCTACCGTAAAATAGGCAGAGGAAAGTTTCATGAGAAGTAGTGTGTTTAACAAGACAGACTTTGGTTGCTGTATTCAAGTATTTGGACTATGACTGTGGAGGAGGGGTTGCTTAGGATATGTTGCTGTGTTTTTTTTGAAGAAAAGTAAGGAGTAGGTGGCTTGATAATAGGCAGGGAAACCAGATTGTTGGGACTATGACCTTCTTCTCCAGTATGCTTCCTGATTTGTTTGGCTGGCCGCTAGGTGGCAGCATTGGTTCTACTTCTCTGCTTTTTAAGAGAAATTTCAGGAAGGATGATCAGTTAGTTTGGCATTTTTTGTCGTTTGTGCACCTAACTTGGTGTTATCCTTATGTCATTAGATTCCTCCTAGGGGAGAGTTTTTGTTTTAATTACAAAGTTAAATTCTACATTGTTAAGAAATTTGTGGTGATAAAAATGGAAAAATAAATATTTGGGGGGGTTTAGTGAGGTTCTGTGCTTATGTGTGTGTGTTCTGGACGTGGGTAATGGAAGATTCACCTACAACTTAATTTCAAACAGTCAGACAAAGGGTCCAAGTGGGAGGAGAAACAAAGTGAGAAATAAGAGATAAAACTGGACAAGTCAAAAGGCAGTTTTTTAGAATCTCCTCATGGTGAACTTTTCCTCTCTTTTGTTCACTGCTTGGTTTCTATGATTGAACCTGTCTGAATTTAATCATGAAAACAAGTGAAATAATACATGTTAAATGCCTGTTAGAGTTCTTAGCACAGAGTAGTGACCCAATGAATCAGTGATTCTCAAAAATCCTTATGAACCTTCTTTAAAAAAATAAAGGCCACTTCCTCTCAAAAAATTCTCACATCTGTCATCCCAGCACTTTGAGAGGCTGAGACTGGAGGGTGACTTGAGCCCAGGAGTTTGAGACCAATCTGGGTAACAGTGAGACCCTGTCTCTACAAAAAAAAAAAATTAAAAAATAACTGGGCGTGGTGGTGCACACCTGGAACTACAGGTGTAGTTGAGGTTGAGGCGGGAGGATGGCTTGAGCCCCGGTGGTTGAAGTTGCATTGAGCTGTGATTGTGCCACTGCACTCCAGTGTGGGCAACAGAGCAAGACCGTATCTTAAAAAAAAGAAAAAAATTGGTGGTGGGGTGGGATGGCCACTTTTGTGTTTTTAACCTCCATAGAAGATTTGGATGTACAGCCAACTGGGGTCTAAATATTAGTCCTCGTTTCTTCCCAAGCTGCAAGGACCAGTCCTCTATTGTGCTTATGGTAGGAAAATAAAGTTCATGGATTTAGCCCATGGTTCAGTATCAGAGCTATTTGGGAAACTAGCCGTTTTCTTTTTTTCCCCTTACTGTGGTATTGAGAGTTAAAACGCCAGACTTGCTATTGATTTTCTCCCTAGAGTGACTTTGGGTCTGTCACAGGACTTGCTGCTTTCCCAGGTATAAAAGAAAGAACAACTGTATTTTAGAAGGGGCTGGTTAAAACACCAGGAAAGTACTGGTTAAATATGATCTTTGTACCTTAGACTGTGTTCTTATCACAAATCAGCCTGATAAGAGGCAACAGTTTCAAAAAAGTATTGCACTTTTGTATTTCTAGGTGGAACAGACAAATTCTTCATGTTGTTGGGGTAGGGGCAGTGGAGGGTCAAGTTCATTATCAAACTTTTAGATTGAGGCTTTTCTTGAAGCACTGCGTTTGTCCACATAAAATTGAAGGGAAAAAGGAAGGAGAGATTGTCTAAATACAAAAAATTGAAAATGAGAGTGGGGGATAAGAAACTTACAGTGTTTTGCTTAACTCTGCAATTACAGATGTTCCTCAACTTATGTTAGGGCTATGTCTGGGTAACCACATCTTAAGTTGAGTTCAGTTGAAGAGTATACTGAATGTGTATGGCTGTTGCACTGTTGTAAAGTCAAAGAATTGCAAGACAAACCATTGTAAATTGAGTACCATCTGTAAACCTTAACACAAGTCAAAACATGGATTTTCTAGGCTTCCTTTACTTTTTTAAAGAGATTATGGTTATTATTTTTTTTTCCGTGGCGTTTGAGCCTTGATTCTTTAAACAGAACCTAGTCTCATCCAGGACTGGCTGTCAGTGGAATTCTGGGACTCAGCAGGAATGTGATAAAGCACTTCTTCATTTGCTGATAGTAGTCTTGGGTCAAATTCCGACGACTTATCACACTTGAAGCCTGGGGAAAGGAGGCATGTCCTGGTAATCAGGGTGAACACATTATTCCTGGAAACCTAGTTAGAGTTTGGCAAACACCCAGAAATTCACCTGTGAATTTTTGCTTCCACATAGGACTCAAACAAACCTTTTAAAAAAAGAGAGACTTGACATCATTCTGCCATTACCATCAAACATCATGTATTGAATACTTTTAAATGAGTGTATATCTGAACATTAAACTACTACTTTTCACCCGCTCCTCTCTAATAAAGAAGCTAGTTGCTTTTTAACTGGCATTTGGGATGTGGCTACCATAGATTTCTCATGCTTTTTGTTCCACCTTCTGCCAGATTACTTGCCTTCAGAGAAGGGAAAGGCCTTCATTTGATTGTCGTAAGAAATATGTATGGGAGAGTTATTCTACATTGTCTAGGCAAGTCCTGGTTTAACCACAGCTTGGTTCATAGCCTGGGGTGTCCCCGTGTCTGGGACTGGCTCACTGGTCTGTGGCAACTTCCAAATGTTCGAGTTTCTTAAAAATCTGGCCACGGGAAAAACACACCACTTCTTTTATTAATGTTGCTGTTTTTCTTTTTTTAAAAAATACCCAACTTAACATAAACTGCATATTTCAGAAATCTAAACCTTGGGTCTGAGGCTGTTTGTGTTAAGCAGCCCCCTTGGTTGAGCAATTAGGACCTTCAGTCCCATAGTTGACTGGAGCCCATGGATGGTTGCATTTCTCTCCTTGCAGGTCGCTTTCGTCCTTCCCAAGAGCAGCATTAGAGAGAGAGGCACAGCCTAAATGAATTACAGCATGAGAAGTATATTTCAAGTCCTCTAAGGGCCTTGTCCAGTATGATTGGTTGGTGTCAAATGTTGTCCAGCTCCAAATGATATTAGGAAGACAGGCATGTCCCAGATGGCTATACATGTCACTGCTGTCTCTTGGTGGCAACAGGAAGACCTTGGTAAAATAAACAAACAAAACATCTTACTGAGATCCCTGCTGACCCCCAACAATGACTCGTTTCTTTTTGAACTAAGGCTTCAGTGTGCCCTTCCCAACAAGTCCCTTAATTTCTCCTCCAGAGTTTCCTTTGGTTTCTGATTTACCCAGGATCGACTAAATCAGAAGCCAGTCTTTTGTTCATGTTTTGATGTAGTTTACACAGAAAAAGCCCCAGAAGAGATCTGCTTTAACTCTGGTGTTTTGACTAAATATAGGATTAAATACTATTTTGTCATTTTTTTAAAAAAACAAAAGATGAAATAAGAAATGTGTAAAATAAGACACTTTATTTAACAAATGCTCATTTCTCAAGATTATTTTAAGTAAGCAGGGTTGTTCTTTTGGGCTTTTAGATTACAACTGTATCTCATGCCAGTTTTTTTTTTTTTTTTTTTTTTTTTTAAACTTGGTGTATCTTAACCTTTCCCTTCAGAAACATGAGCAATTCAAATAGAAGACAGGGAAGCATGTTAATGGGTCCAGATAATATAGTTATATTTAATGGAAGGAGGGTTATAATTGAAGATGTCTAGTAATATTTTATTTAAAAAGAATCTGACTTATTTACTTTTTCCTCAGTGATTTCTTTTACTTCTGTTTAGATTAGTATAAGATACAACCCTCAATCCAAAATTTAAACATATTTTAAATCTTCTTTGAAATGCTTAATTTTAATGAAAAAAAATCACTGAAAAAAAAATTTTAAAAGCCCTAAGGACTTGCTAGTTAGGCAGCCCTAAGGACTTGCTAGTTAGGCAGCTCGGTCCTTGACTCTGAAAGCTGTTTGAAAGGAAAGTATACTGGGATTAAATTTTAAGCTGCCGGTTAAGTCTGTAGAATCTATGTTGGGTTTATAATTACAGTGATAGTACATACACTAAGAACATCTTCAAGGAATTCTAAAAGTTAAATTTTATATTTTCGGAGGGCACCCTGAGAAATCTGTTTTGACTACTGTTCACCACTACCAAGTGTCTTATTTTATGTGAGCAGAGTACCACACAGTATACCCTACCATAGGCTCACTGACTTCACTGACTGAGTCCTGCTTTTTTAAAGAAATGGCTGAAAGTTGTATCTTCATGGGTTGGCAAATGCTCAGCTTGAGAATGATCAGGTGCCCATGCGCATGTCTGATAGAAAACACCTGTCAACATCAAGCCCTGGAACACTGATATTTCCTAAACGTGTCTATGAAGTGACATCTTCTCTTAAGTGTGTTAGGAGTGAGAAAGACCAAAAGTAAATTATCTTCATGGAAGCATGTTGTTTTCATGTTTTAGTAATATGTGAGTTGTTGCAGAATTAAAGTCGGGTAAGAGTGTCGTGAGGACCCCTCCTCTCTTACTGGAAGATTTTGATCAGTAACTGGGACCTTGCAAGGGGGGCTTAGTCATAGCATTTCTGTAGGTGCAAACTCCATCAGACTGCAAAAAAGGATAGTAAAGGATCGTTTAGCCCTCTTTCCTGAGGGTAATTGGCCTGTTTCTGTTAGAGTTTAATTTACCCTCAGCAAGGGGCCAAATTGGCCTTAATTGTGTCCTAATTATTTGCTTAAATAGCTAATCTTTCTCCTATCACCTCTTGATATCTGTGAGAGGTTACTTCTGAGCTGCTGCCTAATTTACAAACATCTTTTTTAACTCTTTAAATATTCCTGCATGGACCAGCTTGTTACTGTATTATCCCCATTCCTGCATTCAACATCCTTCATGAATTCTGCTGAAGGAAAATGTTCTTGTATTATATTTTCACTCAGCAATTATTCGTCTCCTTCAAAGTGTAGCCATTTGTTTGAAAACATGAAAGCAGGTCTGGCTAAAAAAAAGTTAAATACCAGTACATTTGGGGAATTTCAAATTACCATAAGTGAAAAAATTGGCCCTGAAGGACTGAAAAACATTCGTTAGAGAAAAATGGAATGGTAAGATTGCCAGTGGATATGGGAGCGGGACATCTAGAAGGTGTCTAGAGTTAGTAATCTCTGACATGTACATGGGGGCATACTCAAGAGGATTTCAGTATCTTCTCTGCTGTGGTTCAGTAGCAGGTCCTTGCACATCTTAATCTTACCAAAGAAGGTCATCTTGTCTCATGAAAGTTTTAGGATTCCTGTCAACCTTGGGTATTGTAAGTTAGGGGAAAGTTACTTTGATACGGAAGTGTGGGAGGGAAAAGTTTAGAAAGGGATTCAGAGTAAAGAGACATGATGTTCTAAACTATATTTACAACCAGTCAAAAGCAGAGAAATGAAACCCTTCCAAAGGAAAATCAGATGTA